AAAATTTTCACAGAAGCAACTCCACACATTTAGACTTGTTACAAAGCATTAAACTGTCTGAAAAATATGCTCATTGACAAGCATACATGTATACAATTGGAATTATGTAATTCTGTGAGGAAAAAACAGGAACTATGAAGAGAGAACCAAGGAAAAGTCCTTAGAGGTAAGAAGTTAAAAAAAAAAGGAATACAACATCTTTCCCTACAAAATTTTATCCCTGATGGATTTTGAAATAGACAAGAGGCCCATGGGCCTTATAGGTCACCTGAGCATTATGCAACAACTTTCCAGCGATTTAATTTGATTAATGTTTTAAGCAAGATGCTATGGCATTCACAATTTTGAAAGAGGCACCATTTGATCATCATAACAATACACTTAGCAGTTGCTTAGTTTGTTTACTTAATACCCATAGGCAGGGTGTGGGAACAAAAATGCATTTCAAGTAATCAGTAATATTCAGCAATAATCAGTAATGCCCCAATCACACATGAACCCCTGACCCTTAGGCCTAGATCCACACATTGCACAATTTTTGAAAAGGCACCCTTGCTTTTCAAAAATATTTGATTAATACCAAGGAGCAATAGTTTCGAACAATTCATCCAGTTTCAGTATATAATACACCCCCCCCCAAATATTGACCCTGGGGCCTTGAAATTCACAATTCTGGAAGATTAGGGTCCTTATCATCATAACTACATAAAAGTTAATCTGCTTAATACCCAAGAGCAGAGAAGAAAATTTTCAAAAATTTAATGTATTTTCATTATGTAATCAATAGAGCCCCACCCTATCACTAGCACCCCTGACCCTGGGGTCATAAATTTCACAATTTTGGTAGAGGCACTCTTGCTCATCATACTTATGCACTTGTTTAGTTTATTTAATACTCAGGAGCAGAGAAGAAGATTTTCAAAGAATTCATAAATTTTCACTATAAAATCTATAGAGCCCCACCCTAGCACTAGAACCCCTGACCCTGGGGCTATAAAATTCACAATTTTGGTAGAGGCAGTCTCTTGCTCATCAAAACTATGCACTTAGTTAGTTTATTTAATACCCAGGAGCTTTTCAAAGAAATAATGCATTTTCACCATATACTTACACCCTAGCACTAGAACCCCAGCATGGGGTCATAAATTTCATAATTTTGGTAGAGGCACTCTTGCTCATCATAACTATGCACTTAGTTAGTTTATTTAATACCCAGGAGCAGAGAAGAAGATTTTCAAAGAATTCATGAATTTTCACTATATAATCTATAGAGCCCCGCCCTAGCACTAGAACCCCTGACCCCGGGGCCATAAAATTCACAATTTTGGTAGAGGCACTCTTGCTCATCATAACTATGCACTTAGTTAGTTTATTTAATACCCAGGAGCAGAGAAGAAGATTTTCAAAGAAATAATGCATTTTCACTATATACTTATTAAGCCCCACCCTAGCACTAGAACCCCTGACCCCGGGGTCATAAATTTCACAATTTTGGTAGAGGCACTTTTGCTCATCATAACTATGCACTTAATTAGTTTATTTAATACTCAGGAGCAGAGAAGAAGATTATTTAAGAATTCATGAATTTTCACTATATAATCTATAGAGCCCCGCCCTAACACTAGAACCCCTGACCCTAGGGCCATAAAATTCACAATTTTGAAAGAGGCACTCTTGTTCATCATAACTATGCACTTAGTTAGTTTATTTAATACCCAGGAGCAGAGAAGAAGATTTTCAAAGAAATAATGCATTTTCACTATATACTTATTTAGCCCCACCCTAGCACTAGAACCCCTGACCCTGGGGCCATAAATTTCACAATTTTGGTAGAGGACTCAATGCTGATTACAATCATGCAAACAGTTTAACTGCTTGATGTCCAGGAGTAAAGAAGAAGCTTTTTAAAGATTGCATTAATTTTATGGTTTTTGCCCCACCCCCCAGGCCCCAGGGGGGCAGGGACCATGAAATTCACAATTTTTGTTCCCCTTCACCCATAGATGCTTTGTACCAAATTTGGTTGAAATTGGTTCATTGGTTGCAGAGAAGAAGCTGAAAATGTTCAAATGTTAACGGACGACGCACGACGCACGACGACGGACGAAAACGGATAGCAATAGGTCACCTGAGTTTACTCAGGTGACCTAAAAATATGAATATTATAATGATACTTGGTGGAAGTTAAACTTGGTCAATAGGGCACAATTTATGTCATTTCCACCTGTCATGATAAGATGAATACAATGTATATCACAATGTGATGAGACTGGTCCTTCAGTGACAGTCCAATAATAAACCTATATTTTTTTCAACAAGGAACCCTGAAACAATTTTATACAGGAATGTAAAATTTTCAAGACAACAATAGTTTCGAAAAATACACAAAACCATTATTAATCTACCTTTTGCCATATATTAAATGGACCAAAATTTACGAACAATTCTCAAATGTCTCCATACCAAAACTTTATAAAATACATCTATAAATTAATGAATATCTGTTAAAGCTTATCACAGGAATAACTACAGGTATCAATCTTGGTATAATTATATTATCATTATGCAATTTATGGCACTTTAGTATTTAGGGTTTTATAACCAACAACAAAGGGTTTTGGAAAGGGTTTTGAAAATCTTTCAGGTTTTCTATTTTTCTTTTTTCCCCGAGAAATTTCCTCCCACACAAGAGAACTCCCAGCATGCATTATTCATCGTCGCCTTCTAACACCACATATTCACTGATTGTTGTTTTATCCCCTGATTGCTCAATTTCCTCTTCATACATGACCACCCTCATAGATTTCTTGTACTCATCTGGGACTTTGAACATTTTTCCGTGTGCAGGCACAATGTAGTCCGCTTTTTCAAGAACTTTTATTCGACCTTCTTGTTGAAGTTCTGGGTTTTGACTTACATCCTGCCAAAGACTCGGTTCATCTAAATCCTCGAAACACTCAAATAAATTACCTACAATCAAAAGATTTTTACATGGCAAGTCAGTACACATTATAAGACAGCAATTTTATAAAAGAAACAAGGTGCATTGCGTAAAAACACATTCAATATTATTACTTGTGTTTACTTAAGGCGTGGCATTCTTGACGCTACGTCATTAGCGTCTCTTAAATGGCGAATAGATTCTCCTTGGTTAAGAAATTAAAACATCAGCAACTTTAAATTGTTGTTGACAAAGATGACTTAATTAAGCCCTATCTCTTTGCCGTACGAAACACTATCATTGGATCCTTGAACACTCATTGCTAAATATGTAATGTTGAGAATACCACACCTTACTGAAAGTCCAAGGACAACAGAGAGAATTGTACCAAGTTGCAAACTGGATACAGACCATTGATGCAATTCCATTTTTTTTTTTTAAAAATGCTCTTTTTTATAATACAACATTTATTTTGTCAAAATTTGTGTTTCATTTAGTTCTTCCTTTTAATATTTACCTGTCACTGCCACGGTACCCAGTCCTGTGTTACTGACAATTACAGAGACATCTGACCCCGTGTGTCCAGGGGTGGGGATCACTTCTACATCATCATCTATCTCGTAAGGAATTCCCTAAAATCACCAAAAAATCAAACCATGTACATGTATTACATTGTATTTTGTAAGGTACCTCTGATGTATGTGAGAATTCAACCAAGTTAAAGTTTATCAACAGAAGATGCCATCCACTTTATTTTTTTTTAAATCACAATACTACAATTCTTAAAAAAAAAAGTTTCTGATGAGACTGTATATCTATTAGTACATGATGTATAAGCTTGAACTAAGTAATATAAACTTATTACTAAATAGTAAATATATAGTGCACTTAAAATTGTCTTCAACGTCTCTGGTTAAAATTAAGATGATTTTTTTTTGTTTCATTTGTTTAGAAAAATGCATTTTCTCTCAATCTCTCTATCAATACAATGGTGTATATATATACCTAAAATCACATTAAAAGAAATTACCGTCTTGAAATCATGCATTTGGTATTGGTCTCCAACACACACATCATAAGATAGGATGTGTACAGCATTAGAGAAGATACTCAGGTTCCCAACGCGGTCCGAATGGCCATGGGTGCACACACAATACTCAATCTTCTCAGGCGAAAGTCCATTCTTCTTAAGACCTACAAAACATTTCTCTTTTTAGTTTTCAAATAAAAACCATGCATTTCTAAACATGATCTTACATTAACTTCGTAAACAACAATTTTAACTTTATAGAGACATTAAGAGGCCCAAGGGCAACAAAATTCACCCAAGTCATCTTGGCCCTGCTTTAATTTCTATTTCAAGGTTTAAATTTTATTTATTCCCATGGAAATTTTCGACCCCTTATTATGACCCCAACCTAAATAATTCCTTATCTAACCCTCTGGCACTCTGATCACATAGAAAAAAGCTGGGTTCCATACTAGAAAATCAACTAAATCCCCTTCATCCACAAATGCATTTTGGAAGTTTGGAAGAAAGTGGTTCAAAATTTGATAGAAACTCTTTGATCATTCAAGCTCACTCGAGCCTATGGCTTAGCATTAAATGAGCTTACCTTATACATGTCTTCTTTATATAAAAAAAAAATTTCAAACTTATACTTAGAGGTCTTGCACAACTGACTCCATCCAAAGAATTAACCCATGCCTCAGGCCTAAGTCAACACTTCTGTTCATAGAAATCTAATTATAGCACTCTTAATATCAGCATATATATAATGAGCTAAAGAGCAAAGGAACACTAGACATACCATCCAAAATGAAGTCTTTATCCCAGGGGTTTCCAGTGTCCACAATAATATTTTTAGGACCCTTGATTAAACTTATAGCACTTGCCCTTTGTTGACCTACAAAATCAAAAAACAAATAGACAACATCTTGTATATCCATATATAGCGAATTCACAATATGCATGTTTTCCTTGAAGTGTTACTATCAAATATGTCTCATTGGAAGCGAATTTTTTAAAACATGTTATTTTGTCTTGTTTTTATTATGAATTGAATTTTATATACAAATGCTGAAAGAAAAAAAAGTCAGTTCAATTTATCAAATTTTGTAATATCTTTGAAAGTTCGTCACTTGGTCGAGATTTGATGGTTCCGTTGGTCAAAGTTTATATAATGGTTAATAACCAATTTTTGGTCACTTAATTGGTTAATGGAATGACCAATTTTTAGTCACTTAATTGGTAAACGGAATGACCAACTTTTGGTCACTTACTTGGTTGAAAATTTCCAACTTTTTATTTAAAAGGTTGACATCATACACATAATTTTGGTCATAAACAATGTTTCTTAAATAACACTTGTTAAAAGTTTATAACATTTTTGGACGATCAAAATGGTTCACTTATAAACACACAGAATGACTTACTATATTTTCAACGTTATTTGGTTAACAAAAAGGTGAAAGTCGGGTGAAATGTTACTCAAATCAAAATAATGGTTTCGCATAATATAGGTACCTATAACCGAAGTATACGGAGTCGTTTCCTAAAGTGACTTAGGTCACTTTTCCCTTACCAAAGAGGCTGTGTGCTACAGTGTCCCCAACAGCCGATGCACAATTATTAACGAGCTTTTATATAGCAAAAGTTGTTATGATGACCTAAGAGACAATCAGATCTTTTCACAATCCATACAAAAAATTAGCGGGTTTTAACCAACAAAATTACCTACTAAATTAATAACGTTATGGCGCCATTTAAAACCTACAAATACATCACTTTCTCATTAAATTATACATGTTAAATTAATAAAGTCATTAAATCATTATTGTCCATTTTTAAATCTGTTCATTGACAATTTTTGTGTTTATTTTATAATGTGATAAAGGAGTTAAAACAAAGTTGTATTTTTTTTTAAATTGTAATTCAATCATATGATGTTTTTTTTTTTCAATTGGGCTGTGTCACCGCCGCATTTCACCGAGTTCGTCTCATGGCACTAATATATACATGTATATTGATAAACACAGATTATCACCACCCATTGAAAAAACTGTATATTTATTGCGCACAAAATTTGAAGTAACTTTTTCCAAATTCTGGCCTCAATTGCAAAAAATGGAAGATTTCAAAAAATTAATCTCTCCTCTATCAAGTTCTCTCGTAGTTGACATCCGAACGAAGCATATTCAACCGAATTATCTTTGAAACCAAAATGGCAGTATAAATAAGCGAAATGTCCGATGATTGCAATATCAGGGCCAGGAGGACTATTAACAACAATTATGAGGAATGTTTTGTTGTGGAAAGAGTCAAAGAATATGTTATGGACACACGGTATATACATTTTGAGATTACAGCTTTAATAAACATGGAGAAAAAATCAAATATCTTTTTTTGTGCGCAATAAATATACAGTTTTTTCTGAGGTCAGCTCTCCGGTCTATAAATAATGTTTTTCGGAGAGCTACAGATCTGCAGCTATAAAGAGAATAAAGCACTGCAAGAACATAATATCAAGAATATGTTTTAACTATAAAGAAAAAAAATTATATGCTCTACTTGCATTTCATGTATAAAAATGACCTACAAAATATGTACAACACACCTAAAAAAATTCCTGTCGTTTAATTTTCGTTATTTTTATATATTTAGTACATGACTATATCTACTGCATGTATGCACATTTTGGACAAAATCGTTCGAGTGGTTTTTGGACAGGAAATTCCAAAAGTTATCCCCCTTTAGTTGTTTACAAGGAGAGAAAAATTTTAATCAACGAACTCCTTAAACCTTGTTTCAAAAAAGCCAGGTTTATAACTGTTTCATTTTATTCCTTTAACCATTTAACACAAAAACATAGTCATCTTTTTGATATACATATCATCAAAACAATTTTTAAAGGCCTTAAACTGAAAAACTATGAATTATCAAAGCCTTGAAAATTGTGTATTTTTCAAATTCAAAATTTTTTTGTGAAAAAACCTGTCCTTTAATTTTGGTAAAAAACTTTCTTTAGGTAGCTGGTGGTAAAAATAATCTTCATAATTTTTTGTATAATTTTTGTACGACCAGTTTTGAGTAAATAGCGGAAAATTACCACCTCCCCCTTTCTCAATAAATCACGTTCCCGCGCGTCTTTCAGACGGGGGTCGATCACTTTGCTATGAATCTACAAATATACATTTAAAAAAATCAATCTGGAATATTGTTTTTGCTTCAAAAATATATTAACTTACATATTTAAAAGTTCTCATATGTGAAACGTATTTAAATGTAGATTTTTAGGCAATTTTTGAATACCCCTAATACCCCCACCCCTTCCTTTTTTTGCGTCGCAGACCCTTAGCGTTTCACGAAACGTCGTTTGTACAGTGCACATACATGTAACTAGTAATTCGTCATTTGAATCCCGGAGGTATGAATTAGTTTTTAAATTCATGAATGCAGAATAAATATTGACTGCTCGTTTTATATGTATCAGGAAAAAATTACTGAATGATTTTAGTGTTTAACCCATGTGTATGTATACATGCGTTATGCATTCCATATCACATGAAACCTGGATACGAATTCAAGTTATGTTGAATATGTTGATTTTTATTAATTAAATTTATTTCTTTAATTTTATTCATCAACAAAAATGGTGTATGTTCAACTCTCTTGTGACATAAATGGAATAATTATAGTTTCTTTCATGTCATTATTTCAAACGAGACAGTATGTGGCCGTAGGGATACATCGACCATTTGCATACACCCCTTTATACGATATTGTACGCATTCTTTCAATGTCGTTACTTCTAAAGTTAAAAGGAAAATTCCGTATTCGTCCTCATTAACTTTAAAATATCAACCATTAAACTCTTCATCTATTCTAATTTATATCAAATCGCACATTGATATTTTTAAAAAAAGTCCTATAGGCTACGTTTTGTTTTGATTCGAAGAAATGCGAACCGACGTTGTTGACAAGAAAGTCAAACGATATGCTGCAATAGGATATTCATGATAATATTCAGATAATTTCAGTACTAGTAAACAATTCTTTTCAGTTCTATACTTACATTGTGTCTATAAGGTCTATAGTATTCAATTGAATTCTCGGATTTATCAGGTCTTGCTGTATTTGATTCTGTGTATACATGCGGAATACCGTGAAGAAAGGGAGGAAAACAAACATCTCCTATATTATTAGAGTTGTTCCTCTTTGATCAGTAAGGGTCTGAGAACAACATCGATTTTACATTGTAAAAAGTTTTTTTGTTTGTTAATTGTTGTTTTATTTAATTAAATAAGAAAAACAATATTTATATATTAATGCACAAATTATAATAAAGACCATTAATCGGAATGTTATATATAGCCAATTGTACATAAAGAGAATTTCGGCAATGTAAAATAAAATTTTCAGAATAAATGAAATGAATTAAACATTAAGGGATGGTATTTTATGTCTTGCTTTTTACGGAGTTTAATCGAGTTAATTAAAAATATATATACTTTTGGATTGAGTGTGGTACTCATATGATAATCACAGCCAAGCTCCATATCCCATTTTCCTTTTGTGATTGATATACATCGGGATCGTTTTACGTCATTTTGACGCTTTATTTTTGACGTTAAATTTGACGTAACGTCAAACGTTCAATTGAAATTGCAAGAGTTATCTCCCCCAGTGTGTTGTACGTCTTTAAATGACAAAAAAAAAATATTCAAAGAATAATAGAAATTAACATTTACATTATATAATTTTTTTTCCAATGTAAGCAAATTAATGGGATATGTGCTAGCAAGATAAATGGGTGACAAGGTTATAGGGGGTAACTAGGGCAAGCTGACTCTAGATGAACAGACTTGTACAAAGAAGTAGACTGCAGAGTGAACGGGCTTGATATGGTGATACCTTGTGCTTCATTCAGATCAAGTCAACACTGGCCGTGACTGGGCAAAAGCCAATATATATACACACCCAAGTGACAGTCTAAATGAATCACACATAATTGTGAAATTTTCTAAAAGTACTCTAATTCTACCCTAATTTAATTTTAAAATAATACATACCTTCGTCTTTGGGTTTGTTGTAGCCTTCTTTTATAACAACTACTTCATAAGACATGTTGTCTGTTCTTATTAAGGCCAGTCAGGAAATGAAAAAAAATAACAATTCTAACCAGAGCCAAATTTGATGCATATTTAATTCGTTTTCTTTTAATGAAATTTTAAATTAAATCATTGAGATAAATTTGGTTTCATGACATGACAAAAACACTCTGAACAAAAATGAAACTGAAACTAGTGAAAGTGGCCAAATCGTAAAATGATTTATGTAAATTTTCTAAAAAGTTTCTATCAAAACATTCATCATTTAAAATACTCACTAACTAGTGTTACTTGTATTATTCTTTCGGAATATCGGGTTTGGTGTGCCTCTGTCACTCCGTAGGGTTACCTATCGGTTTTACCGGGTCCGCTGGTGGAAGTTTCTGGAAAGCACTGTACACAAACAATCGAGAGGATTTTTCCTATAGGCCTAGGGGAAACAGTTTTTTTTTCGCTGAGAAAAACAGGAGAAACGAATACCAGAAGTGACAAATTAAACTCTAAGCCTAATACAAGAACATTTTTTCCAACATTTGTTTCATTACCATTGTACGACTGTAAGTCTGTATCATTCTGGTAACGGGACATTTCGTACATATTGACAAATCGCACCGAGATCATTCGCCCCAGGAACTTTCGCGCTATATATTTCGCACCCGACATGATCAAATCATATTTAAAATATGATTATGTTGACATCTATTAATTACGTGTAAAGTTTATAATGACTTTATCCAATTTAAAAATATATTATATATATTTTATTTTTAAAATGGTTTTTATTTAATAAAAATTAAAAAATAATTAAAATTATCCTCTTATAAATATTAATAATCTTTATTCAGTAATTATTAATTAATAAATCATAATTAAGAATTTGGGGCTACTGCTATAAATTAATTTAGGGCAAAACATGTCATCAATAAAGCCCCCCCCCCCCTTTAATTTTTGAATTTGAACAGTTGGTGCTAGGGCTTTTAAAATATTTCATGGATCTAAATATTTTGTGCCTCATTGAACAGTTGGTTCTAGCGCATTAAAATTTCATAAGTATATTCACCCAACCTAAACTATCATTGATGTCCCTGGCATACTTTACTAACTAGACAGTGATTCCTTACATTTCCATTTCCATTTGTGAAATTGTAAATTTAGATTATTTAGATTTAAAAACATAGACTGATAGTATTAAATTACATGAGGGCTCCCATGTCAATTTCAATAGTTCCCTTCCACTGACGTCGAACACTGAAAGACCGTCGCACAAGATTTACATGCATATTATGCCTCCTTAGCTCCTGATCTATCGCTTGGCGAAATATACAGGCCAGAACTTTCCAAAAGTTATCACAGATAAAACATATAGAAATGGAAATATATTTTTAACCTTGACATTGATTGGTTGCGTGCTATACACAAGTATACACCTTCCACCACCCATTTAGGCATTTTGAAACTCCTGACTCTGCCACTGAATAGGAAGGTCAATCAGATATACTGTATATACAGGGAAATTTTGCCCCCATTTTTTCAACCCTTTCGGCATCCTACCTTCATTTGGGTGAATTTAAAACAGGACGAATTATAAAAATACAGCATAAATTCTTTTAAAACATTACTATAATTTGGCGAATTTAAAATGGGGCAAAATTGTTTTCAAGTGTGAAAGGGCGAAAATAACATGGGGCAAAAATAACCCTGTATAGAGTATTGTCAATACATGTGAATAGTTCTCACCAATATGTATCAGCGTATAGGAGTTTAAATATATATAATATCTAATCTTATTTTTCAAGATAGAGCCAACTGCAAAGCACCTCTCTTTTGAGGGATAAAAAAAAGCCAATTTCTGCAGGTCAATACATTTTATATTTTAGACTCAGGATTATTACATCAAGAGTAATTTTCAAAAAAGTACAGTATTTATATCACCAATGCAATTCAACAAATAACATTATTCCTCTTTCTTTACCTATTCATTTCATGAATTCTGAGACTTGGAGAAAATACATCTATGCATCTGTTTCATGGCACCTTAATTAAGTAGGCATGAAGCAATACTATTCACACTATTAATGTACAAAACATATTGAAACAAAACATATAACAAGCAATTGAAACTGATAACCACAAATTTCACATATATATATATTAATTTACATGGTTTACATGTATATCGAATAAAAATTAATGGCATACCATGTATATTAGAAGTTATCTAGTTAATTGAGTTCAAAACAGTCCAATCCCAAATACATGTAACTTAATTAAGGGCTAGATATTAGTGTCAAGGGTAAATGGCAAATGTCAGTAGTGCATCTATATACACATGCCCTTTTTTTGACTTGCAGTCTGTTGCACATCTCTTAAAATTCTTACCATAACTCATTATTAATTTTTATATATTTGATAACATCACATTTTTTTCTGTTTTTCAATACATGTTACAGTATAAAATAACAGAAAATCCAAACCAGAAACATAACTGCAATACTTAAAAGTGAAAAAATTATCAGAACAAATGTATAAATTGAACAAGATGTGTTTGTGAAACACTGATGCCCCTGTATGGCAGCTAATAGTGATGGTTAAATTCTCAAATGCATGTCAAACTCCAAAGGGTTAAGGTCAAAAGAGTTGATACACAAAGGAAGGTCTTGTTACAAGGAATACACTTGTGAAATATGAAAACCCTATTTCTAACTGTTCAAAAATTATGACCAAGGTTAAAGTTTTTAAAAAGTGGGTCAAAAGTATTTATACCAGCTGAAAGGTCTTGTCACAATGAATACACATTAGGATGAAATTCATCCTAATGTGTATTCATTGTGACAATTGAAAGCCCTAGCTCCTACATGTACTGTTCAAAAGTTATGGCCAAGGTTAAAGTGTGGTATTTTTTGTAAAAGTAGGTCAAACTCTGAGGTCAAGGTCAAGAGGTCATATTTGGTGGCATGGAAAGGTCTTGTCACAAGGAATATACCTGTGAAGTATGAAAGCCATAGCCCCACCCATTTAACACTTATGGGCTAGGTCAAAGTTGACAACAGACTGATAGACAAAAAGACAGACAGGACAAAAACAATATACCCCCGGGATCTTTCGATCCCGGGGCATAAAAATAGCACTATTAATGCATATGAACTATGAACATTCCTTTCACAGGGGATGTTTGGTAAAAATGAACAAATAGAAGGCAATCTAAATCAAAATCAAAATGCAAATGAAAGACAAGTGAGGTCAAGGTCACAGGAAAATCAAAGGTCAAAAGTTTTTGATCCAGTTTAATATCTCTCACTAATTTGTATCAGCATATGAAGTTTGATTACACTATCTTGAATGACGTCCTTAAAATTGAGCTAAAAACTAATTTAAGAAAACTGAGGTCGAAGTAAGGTCATGCAACATGTGCAAGGTTAAAAAAAAATGTTGATGCAGTTGAAAAGCATACATCAGTATGTATCAGCCTATGAAATTCAATTACACTTCTTGAATGGTGTCTTTAAAACTGAGCTGAGGTAAGGTCAAAAAATGTTGATGCGATTTAATAGTGTTCATCAGTATGTATCACCATATGAAGTTTGATAACACTTTCTTGAATGGTGTCTTAAAAATTGAGCTAAACACTAATTTAAGAAAACTGAGGTCAAGGCAAACTCTATATGCCCCACATCGTCGGAATCCCACAGGTGATCTCCTCTTTACTTATCACCCTAGTTGAAATATTGCCGTAAAATATGCTAATTTGTTGTTTTTAGTGAACCAATCAGAAAATTGGAACTCTTCAATTTTGAAAAATACGTTCATTACTTTGCTATTTATGGTAAATATTTCGACGTTCGTTTAAACGTGCGAAGTTTGATTTAGAACAATGAAAGTCAATTCGTACAGGTCACTGACATTAATATCCGTCAGATATATATAGGAGTACCTCTTTCTAGATGCAAAATGCGCCGATGAGTGGGTTTATCAGCTGTGTTAACTACGGAATGAGTTTTTTCATGTTTTTGGCAATGCTGAACATGCATACGTAACATGAACTGTAATTCGTTATTTAGCATCGCGACTCTGTGAAGCAGCAAAGCAAATGACCCACGCACATTTAATTACATACGACGATTTTTCGGCGAGTTCGCCCACGGGGGATAAGTAAAGACAAGATCACCCATGGGTTTCCGACGATGTATGCCCCAATGTCCCAGCTATTTTCATTTCAAGGCATGAATAAGAGCTTGAGATTATCCTAAATAAATGATAAAAATTAATAGGAACAACTGTCAAGCACAGATTTTCTTGCATATTTTTTTTCTCAATTATGTCACCAAATATATGCTACATTTACCTGTACAAATCAAAGGAAACAGCTATATGTGAAATTCAACAAGGCATACAGATTGCTGAAAATCAATTTCAATCGTAAGTAATTGAGTGCAGCAGTGCATTGTAATATTAAATACACATGACAATGATGTATTCATCAATGATGCAAGGGACTAATAAGCTAGACATTAACACATTTGACAATACACATATAAACTGGTCTACTAGATCTATAGTGTTCAAGTTGAAGAATAATCTGGTGTAAGCTGACAAGGAAATATTTGGGTTTTCTAAGGGAATGTTTCAATACCACATCACTATGGTATATAACAGTATAATGGAAGAACTTTTAAATGATATTGAAAACATTTTTGAACACTGTACACAAGTTTTGCTAATAAACCTCACAATGTACCACATATACACCTCAACGTAATAATACAGTATGTAAATATTTCATTTAACAGTACTCAGTAACATATTGTCTAGATCAACAACCCTTATGATGATATTTACCATTCACTTTGATAGATGACATTTTTTTCAAGATGAATCAGACAGACAGACACAGCCAGATTCATAATGTAATCACAAAACTACTGTAACAGTGTATATGCATTATCAAATGAAGTACAGGGTTGTGGCCAGACATTAAGAAAATTTTAAGAAAACTTCCTAGTTGCATAAGATCTATTTTTAGATCACACATGGCCTTTCACTGAATTTCAAGAATCCTCCTCCACCACGGTATATTCACAGACTGCTGATATTTGATCGCCCGACTGGCTGATTTCCTCCTCGTACATTACAACCCTCATGGACGACCTCTTGTACTCATCGGGAACCTTAAACATTTTACCATGTCCAGGAACAATATAATCTGCCCTTCCCAGCACGTCTATCCTGCCCTCTTGTTGAAGGTCTGGATTTTCACTATTGTCCTGCCATAAACTGGGTTCTTCCAAGTCCTCCAGGCATTCAAATAAATCACCTACAATTAATACATCAATCTAATTAAAATTAGATGTTAGATCTGCTCGCATACTCGCTACACTAACATCTAACAACATCCAATAGAGGGTCATGTCAGAGGGAAATTCTATCAACCAATCAAATCATCTCCTGCAAAACCATCATTGTATATTTGCTGAAGCAAATAAGTCCAGAGTTGTTCCGAATTTGACCTCTGACGTGACCCTCTATGGGATGTTGTTAGATGTTAGTGTAGCGAGTATGCAAGCGAATCTAACATCTAATTTTAATTAGATTGTCAATAAATATGTTAATAATTTTTTGTAACAGTTCAACAGTAATTCGATTATTGTCTTATTGAGGGACCAACTTAAGTTTTATTATTCCTCAAAGATAACTGACAATCTATAAGAAAAACAATCCTAAACCTTATTTAAGAGACAGACAGACAAGGTTCATCAGTATATTATATATTAAAACACACTTCCATTTAATAAATACATAAATATGTAATAATATGTAAACATTATGCAAATCTTTCACCTTTTTGGGATCATTAATGTATATGATCTTTCCAAAGTCTGTAGACTAGACTGTGAATGGATAGGTATATAAAGATGGTTCACTTACCTGTCACTGCCACGGTACCCAGACCTGTGTTACTGACGATGACCGAAATGTCAGACCCCGTGTGTCCAGGGGTGGGGACTACTTCAACATCATCATCTATCTCATAAGGAATTCCCTAAAACCACCAAAAAAATCAGTTAACTTCAATTTATCTGCCATTTTCTGCTGCACCATGCCAAACCCTTTTTAATTCATTAGATAAGTAATGGGCAGAAATTTGCATTAAAAAGGTATTTTTTAATTTTAATCTTTCCAATAATCGAGCACTTTTAGTATACCAAAAATCAATTGATTTTTCACTATAGTTGAAAAATGGAACAACACTACTGTTGTTAACACAATTCATCATAACCATCTGGGGCCATGAAATGAACAAACTTAAATCTACACACCATGACACTGTCAAAAAGCTTTAATGTATTAAGTAGTTCTTTTCTGGCCTTGTGGTTTTTGATCGAGATTTTAAATTTTAAAATTTCTTAATTATCTCCCCGTGGAAGAGGATGCATCCACATCAAAATGATTAAACATTTCTTAGCTGTTCTTAAGGAAAGATTTTCCACAATATTTTCCTAATATGTATTCTTGTGTAAAATTTTAATCCCCCATTGTGACCCCACCCTACCCCAAAGGGTCATGATTTTAACAAGAGGCCCATGGGCCACATCGCTCAACTGAGTAATATGTTCATGCTGTTCTTTACCAGATTCCCCTCCCCCTAATACCTATTGTGACTCGATCTACAATACCCCCAGGGGTCTTGATTTGGATCATTAAGAGTCTACAATACCTAAGGATGCTTCCACGCAAGTTCCATTTTTTTATGGCCCAGTGGAGCTTCAGATGAAGATTTTAAAAGATTTTTCCTAAATATTTCAATGTAAAATTTGGATTCCCTATTGCGGCCCGGCCCTATACCCGGGGGTCATGATTTAAACAATTTAGAATCTACACTACCCCAGGATGCTTCCACATTAGTTTCAGTTTTTCTGGCCCAGTGTTTCTTCAGAGGAAGATTTTTAAAGATTTTTCCTATATACAGGTGACTCTCTATCTTTCAAAGTTCAAGGGACCACAAGAAAAGTTTGAGAGATCGAAGGGTTAGAGAGATAGAAAGTAAATAAAATCCGGAATTTTCAGTTCCGATCATCGACCTTCTACTCTTATAGATACCGGAAGTTTATGTAGATAAATTCATTGCATCGTATTTTACAGGTAATTTACTTGATATCACAAACAATGATCGTATTTCGAATAAATAAAACGAATTCCTAAGTCTTCAATATTTATTTGTTCTTATTTCATGATTACATGAAACCCGAATAGCAATTGTCGGTTTGGCTATTCCGCGGCTTGATCGGGTCCTTCACCCTTGTTCACCCGATTTTTCTTAATCGGTATTCAGTCCTCGAGAAAGGAATTTCTTGTGCAAAATTGCCATGCTGGGCTTATCTAGACTCTAATAAAAGTTCATCATCTAGGGGAACTTATTAAAACGAACGTCTATAAATTATTTTCTTAAAAATTATGGTGTCGGTTTCAAGTCAAAATAAGTTGTGAATTCGTTTACAATTTACCAATAATAACCAATTAATTGTATAAACACACGAAAGACCCACAGATGTAATGTCATCTATATAAACACCCAATTAAGACCTCCATGCCAGCCCCAGGTGTTCAGTGTTTTCCAGGTTAGTCCAGGCTGCATCAATTTTATGCTTGATTGGCGTGTATACCATGTATACACGCACAATCAAAACTTCGAGAGGTAGAGAGTAAAATTCAACGAAATTGTATAACAGGACCCAGGTTTTGGTTCGAGAGATAGAGAACTTCGAGAGATAGAAGTTCGAGAGATCAGGAGTAAATTTGCTTAGTTGTATAGAGGAAAAAAACGGGACCGGAGGTTCACTTCGAGAGATCGAGAACTTTGAGAGATCGGAGTTCGAGCCATCGAGCGTCACCTGTATTTCAATGTAAAATTTGGATTCCCTATTGCAGCCCTGGGTCATGGTTTGAAGAATTTAGAGTCTACACTACTCCAGGATGCTTCTACATAAGTTTCAGCTTTTCTGGCCCAGTGGTTCTTGGGAAGAAGATTTTTTAATGAACCCACCCTATTTTTGTCTTTTATAGATTATCTCCCCTTGTGCGGAGACTTGACCCTTCATTCTAACAGTTTAAATTCCCCTTTATCCAAAAATGTTTTGTACCAAGTTTGGTAAAAATTGGCTCAGTGGTTCTTGAGAAGAAGTTGAAAATGTGAAAAGTTCACAGAAGGACAGACAGCTAGACAAACAGATGGATGGACGGACAGATGGATGGACACAATGTGATCAGAAAAGCTCACTTGAATTTCAACTCAGGTGAGCTAAAAAAAATTGTAAAGAAGGATTATATAGGTTTCATCTTTTTTAACCTTTTGGTTCTTGAGAAAAAGATTTCTGAAAGCTACCACCAAATTTTCTCACTATTTCTGAATTATCTCCCCTTGAAAGAAGGCATGGACCTTCATTTGAACAATCTTAAATCATGTTGACCCAAGGATGCTTTGTGACAAGTTTGGTTGAAATTGGTACATTGATTTTGGAGAATTCTTAAACAGTAAAATGTGAAAAGTTAACAGACAGAGAGATGAACAGACTAAAAACAAAATGAGATTAGAAAAGCTCATTTGAGCTTTCAGCTCAGTTAATTAAGCTTAAAATGCGTCATAACATATATCTGGCAATTAAAAAAAATTCTTAAATTCTTAAATCACAATCAAGACATTACTGTTTTAAAATCATGCATCTGGTACTGGTCTCCCACACACACATCATAGGAGAGAATGTGTACAGCATTGGAAAAGATGCTCAGATTCCCAACATGATCAGAATGGCCATGGGTACACACACAGTAGTTGATTTTTTCGGGAGAGAGTCCATTCTTCTGTAGACCTACAAGACAGTAATTTTATTTTTTAAATTTCACTCTCAATTGAATATTTCTATACTGTAAATGTTAAATGTCTTTTTATAAATGAATGCCCTTTGATACAAATGCCTATCACTTCCCCAGTATCCATTCAGGCCTGTGGCAGGACTTTTCTAAATTTATAATGTTTTTTTTACCCTCTTACCTTGAAGTTTAACATATTTTTCAAAAACATTACTTCAAAGATTGGCCATAACTTTTGAAAGAGAAAAGGTAGGGCTTTCATATTACACAAGTGAATTACCTGTGACAAGACCTTTAGACCAAATATATCATGGTTTTAACCCAATAACCTTGACCTTGAAATTTGACCTACTTTTTAGAAACTTTATCCTTGGTCATAACTTTTGATTGAGAAGAGATATAGGGCTGCCATATTTCACATGTGTATTACCTGTGACCTTTTTTAATATCTATGATTTTTTTTTTGCTGCGTGACCTTGATCTTGAAGTTTGACCTATTTTTACAAATGTTTTCTTTCCTTATATCTTTTTACAAAGATGAGATTGTCCTTAACAGGATGTTTCTGTGCATGCTATTATTTTAACCCCTTGACCTTCATGTTTGACCTAATTTTTCAAATTTTTTAACTTTGGTGAGACATATGATAAGGCATACACATAACTTATAAGACTCAATATATCATAAATAATGGCATCCCATCCACTAAGACACTGAAAGCGGGGGACCACATGAAATAATTGCTTGTTTCAGCTGCACATGAAACCATGCATTATGTTTTTCAGACATACCATCCAGAATGTGGTCTCTGTCCCAAGGATTACCAGTATCCACAATAATATTCTTAGGGCCCTTGATCAAGCTAATACTCCCACATGCTCTTTGCTGGCCTAAAAGAGAAAAAGTCACTTATGGTCCATACTGGTTTCCATACTTTTTAACATTTGATCTATCTGCAGCTGCTCAGTGCAAAGAATTAAAAATAAAAAATCACAAATCCATTTTTCTAGGATTAATTAAATTATATTATATTAGTTCAGTTGGAGAAGACTCACGTAAAAAGACAAACGATTACAAATCTTGAAATAAATAAAGCACATGCAAACAGCAGCTGCATGGTGTTGAAGACAAGTTTATTAAAGTGCGACATACCTTGGCCCTCCGCTTTGCTGTAGCCTTCCTTCAAAACAATGACTTCGTATGACATGGTGTCTTTTCCGGAAAAATCTGTTGAGGAACAATCATACGCTGAGCAAAAATTTTTATAAATAAAAAAATAAAATTTGTAAACATGGCGGGATCGACTAATCGCCGCTGCAGAAAAGAAAACATTGAACCCGGAAATGTCGCGTCCTTTTAAAATTGAACAGTTTAATTAAATTTTGTTTAATAATCACACATTTTAAAATTTAAGCTGATCTTTGATCTAATTCACAATATAAAAATCTTACTGTCGCTCACAAACTCGGGCAATACCCTCAGATTTTCCCTGTAGGCCGTTTCTGTATTATCGGATTAGATGATCTGGAAACTTCTCGAAAAAAAAAAGAAGTGTTCTGTGTTAAACTCAGTAATTTAAGATAGATTTAGAATAGCAGCGCAGAAAAAAGTCCCTTTTGAAGAATATTGTGAAAAAAATAAGAAGTTTGGAAAAGGAAAATAAAAATTAACAGAAATTACGAAGATCGGCACATGGAAAACAGAATATGAACAGTAAAACCCGCATACTCCGATACCCGTGCAGTCGGTTCTGCTGTGAATTCCGACTTTCATTTTTTGTCCCTCGTTTTCGTCAAAGCGAAGGGACATTAAATCTCATTCGCCTGTCCGTCTTCACTTTGTAAGTCTGTCCGTCTGTCATTTTAATCTTGGTAATAATTTTGACCGAGAAGGTATATATTAACCCCCCCCCCCAACCCCCAATATGCAGGACGAGCACGGAGCAAGCGTTTTATTTTTTATTTCACATAAAAATAAAATGCAATGGTAAAGTTGAACATGCATGTGTACTTTTTGTATTATTTCCCATATTGGTACAATTAAATAACCCTACATTTCATCATATCTAGTTTGTGTTGCACGAATATGTATGTATACTATAAACTTTAAGGAAACAACGGTAATGGATAGCTTAATTTGTCCTTTTACCAAATAAAGTTTTGAATGAATGATCGGTGTCCCTAGCCCTGACCCCCGGTCATTATTCCGTGGAAGTCAGAATCCGTTTTTACACCGTATTCACATCAGTGCAGCCATTATATTTACTTATAAGTTAATAAATTTTGCAAATAAACCCCGAAACGGGTGCATTAGGGGTCTTACTTTCTCCTCGAACAATACGCTTTAATTATGCAAGACGATGTCCGTAAACTATATTAGATTTCACTCGGACAGTGAGTATCGTACGATTAAGCTCTGTACTGACAAATTTTAATGAAACTGACAACAAGCAATCGTTTATTTATTTCAAAAAATGTCATCACTGAATTAATCAATCAAAACTTGATTTAAATGATATAAGAGAAATCAGTTGTAATAACCGATTAAAAAGCGAATGTTCAAATTATTTTAGTCATTCGAATTCACCGATCTCAATATTGACGGAAGCTTCTAGAACATCAAATAGCATCGTAAATAATGGTAGGGATATTTTTACATGTAAAAAGATCAGCTGATAAAGGAGCACAATTATTGCCGATTGGAATTCCAACAGTTTGTTGGAAAAATTGCTCTCCGAGGACTACAATATATGGTGTCAATTAGGCACTCCGGAATTCTTTAAATATCAAAAATTTCAATCGATAACTCGTATGCAGTGGCGGATTTAAGGGGGGGGGGCACCTTAAATTTGTCAAAATTAACGTAAATCACAGTTTCGTCTATAAAATGTAAATATATATACCTGGTAGACCTCATTTTTACCCTACAAAATCTGTAGAATCCAGGAGCTTCCGGGAGCTTCGCCCCCTGGACCCCCATCAGGGCTTTGCCCTGGACCCACTGGGGGCCTCAAGGCGGCCCCCCAGACCCCTTGCCTACTTTTGGCGCCCCTCTAACTTCAATTCCTGGATCCGCGCCTGGTATGTACAATGAGAATGATTTTTGACGAAGTAATTTTGCTCATGTCCAAATATACAAGATGTAAAAACTGAACTAAGGTATTGAAGAAGTTATGCTATGAAATCAAGCATTCTAGGTTATAATTTATCGCAAGAATTTTTTTTGAAGTGTAGAAAAGTCGTAATTAAGCTTAGATGTTATAGCTATAGACTTTAAAAGAGTTGATTTAAAGTTTCTATGTAAAAGTTCTTCAAAGATTTTGAGGACGTAGCGTGCCTCAAATATATGTGTAGGCACTAGAAAATGAAGCCGAAGGCTACACTGAAGCGCGAAGCGCCGAAAGGGGGTAGGTACGGGAGGGGGTGGTTGGGGGACCTCCCTCGAGAAAATTTTGAAAAATAGACGCAAAAATTAGCACTTTTGAACAGGCGCGTAGCATCGTTTTTGAAAGTGGGGGCCATCCAGAAAAAAAAATTTTTTTACTTACCTGAAAAAGTTGACAAGCAAAAAAAAAAAAAGTTGCCCAAGTCGAAAATCCTATTTCGTGGGTGGGGGGGGGGGGGGGGGGGTTGGGGGGGGTTGGGGTGGTGGTTAAACTTTTTCCTCAGTGTCAACTACTTTCAGTACCAATTCTAATACTACATTTTCGGTACATCACTTAATGTGGGGGGGGGGGGGGAGCAACCAGGCTTTCTATTAACATTTCCTATAGTATAGGTAAGGTTGGGAAAAAAGTGGGGGGCAGCCCCCCCCCCCCCTGGCCCCCCTGTTGCTACGCCCCTGTTGAAAGGTAACCGTACGGTAAAAAAATTGGGTCTTTAAACAAAATGCGTATGCTTGTTATAATTATTTTGGGAATTTCGCCCTTTAAACAGTCAGATCTAGTAATTTTTTTAAACCAAACTCTTATAGATTCCAAAGATATATGTCAGCAAGGTGTACTTTATGTAACAAAGCTTTAAAGTCATCATTTAAAATATACAAAGATATAAAATCAACAGATCCACCCATTAAAACTTTACTTCATCTATTTGATCACATGATCAAGCCAATAGCTACCTATGGATCCGAAATATGGGGTGTATTGTCATCATCAATGCAAAGAAAAGAAAAATGTTTATTTGATATATTTAAAGATTGGGAGATTGAAAATCTTCATATGAAATTTTGCAAATTTATCATAGGGTCTGGGAAAAGAAGTACCAATATTGCAGTTCTCTCTGAACTGGGTAGACAACCAATATTTTATTCTATTATTATAGCAATTATATCTTACTGGCACAGACTGGAAAACATGCCTGAAAACTCTTTGTTATACAGTGCATACAAAGAAAGCATTATCTTGGACAGTTGTAATGTAAATAGTTGGTTTTCAAATGTAACATATTTCTGTAACAGAATGGGCATAGATTTGTCAAGATGTAAATCAATGAAACTAATAACTTTAAAGAAACATTTGAAAAAAATTATTAGAGAAGATTTCCTTCAATATTGGTTTAAACAAAGAGATGATGGTTGTCTATCGGGTAAACTTACAACATATTTCTATATAAAAAGAAGTTTTGAAATTGAAAAATATTTATTATTAAAAAATTTTGAACAAAGAAAAATTATATGCAAATTTAGAGTGAGTTCACATAACCTCAGAATAGAAAGTGGAAGGTACGAAAAAAAACTAAACTCTGCTGGAGAGCAAACCACCCTTGCAAGAAATGAAAGAATTTGTAGAATGTGCGACATGAACTGTGTGGAAGATGAGATACACTCACTGATTGAATGTCCATTATATAAGCATGATAGAGATGACTTTTTTAATATTATTGCTAAAAGTAATAAAAATTTCTATACTTTAACAAATAAAGAAAAATTTTCTATATATTCGATCAATGCATACTATCTTTGCAAGATATATAACTGTATTCAGCGGCAGCTCACACATATTGGTCCGACCAAAATAATTCCATCATGATAAGTAGATACAACATTATTGTTCATGATAAGAGTAAAGTTGTGTATGTCATACGTTAAAGAAATCAAAAATAACGTCAAAATATCATTAGAAAGTCACTTTCCCCCCGAAATGCAAATAAAAAATATCAATATTCCTACGCTCGCTCCCTCCTCAGCCTTTTTTTTTTTTTACGTGTTTGATAACAGAGAATAATTATTAGGTCATTCTTCGATTCATATCTTTTCACCAATGAATTGATAATACTATATCAACAATTGTATTAAGTACATGTTTATCATGTTTATAGTCCGTTAATTATCATACAATTTGTTCTTAAAGAAAAAATTAATCATTCTGTGTGTGTATTATTAAATGACGGAATTTTCAATCCCTGGCCTGCTCGTGTGTACACTTTGTAAACTGTAGGGTATGTGTGGCAAAACGAGAACTGCATGGGTTGGAGATTCGGGTTCGTGTTGAAGTTCAGCATACCATTATATATAGAACTTGAATAATGTAAGTAATTTCTGCGACAAATATATTAGTATATTTCAGTTATTTTCAAAACAAAAAAGGTTTTCCATGTTTTCAGTTTAGAATTTTCCGACCCGGTCCTGATTTTCCCAACCCGGCCATTTTAAACACAAGTTGTTGCAGATGCAAATGTTAGAACAAACTATATAAAGTTCAACAGGGATTGTATAATTTTTATTAATCAGAATTCGTATTTATATGATCTAATTAAGAAAAGAAAAGTTTTGTCTGACACCGTAACTTCTCGGCAAAACAAAACGTGTTTCTCCGAGCTCGCTGGATGCGTGTGACAGCTCCATTGCACGTGTGTAGACCAAGGCTACAGGTACATGTAGGCCTATGTGTACTGTTTGTTAGGAGACTGGGTGACCGTAATGCTATGGAATCACGATATTTACAACAGTTCCATAATTAGACAGTGCAGTTTTTTTTATTAACGTCATGATAAACACTGTTAAACATATTAAATCTAACAGTCGAATATCTTTGGATATGGGGTAACCCATATCTATTCTTGTTATGGATTATGTCTAATGAAGATGACATGTTGCTTATCAAGCTGGGTAATTTTTTAATCAATATCTTTAAAATAAGAAATAGCAAATTATGCAATGTTAAACAAAGAAACAAATAAATACAAAAGAGTAATATATAGAAATACTTTAAACAAACTTTTATTTACAGTATCTTGATTATGTATGTTGTAATCCCCAACTGCTGTAACACCATTTATCTTTTGTTAGTTACTGCTATCAATTTTGAATTTCTGCTTGTATGTTTTTTTTTTCCTTATTACTTGTATGCCCTGATGGGCCCCAAATTGGTATTAATAAATCTTATCTTATCTTATCTTATCTTATGTCACCTCAATATACATATAGCAGTTGAAAAAAAATTCTAAGCAGGTTATCTTTCAGTGGAGACCCCCCCCCCCTAGCTCCCCGTGATTTGAATATTTGGAAACGATGATACATATATAGGCAAATATTTGAATAAATATTTTTAAAAAATGCATGGGGGTATTTAAGTAATATGTTGTCATTGTTTTGTAGAAACAGATAAATTTTATACAGAGAGAGAGAGAGAGAGAGAGAGAGAGAGAGAGAGAGAGAGAGAGAGAGAGATTTGGTCGATTCCGTCGTAGCCCCTCACTCTCCCTATATGCATAAACTTGTGTCAAACAAATTTTAAAGTTTTAATTATGTAATATACTAGCTAGTATCAGGAACGCTGCTGAGCGAACGGGAAAATGGAAAGAACGTTTTAAGGGTTTGAAACTGCATGTAAGTTTGATACTAAATTTCGGTTTAATTTGAACAACACATTACACTACAGTAACGTGGTTAATTGGGATTAAAACAGCAAAAGGTTTCTACTTTGTTGTGAGAAACTCGATTTTCTTAATTCGTCAAAGATTGCAGGAATGTCCCATGGCATCTTTGTATGGGGTACTCAGTTTGACTGCTAACGCCACTAAAAGAAACAAGACTGCAAATTATGTTTTACAGCTATAAAATATATATGTACTGAGTATTTTTCTATATATTCGATCAATGCATACTATCTTTGCAAGATATATAACTGTATTCAGCGGCAGCTCACACATATTGGTCCGACCAAAATAATTCCATCATGATAAGTAGATACAACATTATTGTTCATGATAAGAGTAAAGTTGTGTATGTCATACGTTAAAGAAATCAAAAATAACGTCAAAATATCATTAGAAAGTCACTTTCCCCCCGAAATGCAAATAAAAAATATCAATATTCCTACGCTCGCTCCCTCCTCAGCCTTTTTTTTTTTTACGTGTTTGATAACAGAGAATAATTATTAGGTCATTCTTCGATTCATATCTTTTCACCAATGAATTGATAATACTATATCAACAATTGTATTAAGTACATGTTTATCATGTTTATAGTCCGTTAATTATCATACAATTTGTTCTTAAAGAAAAAATTAATCATTCTGTGTGTGTATTATTAAATGACGGAATTTTCAATCCCTGGCCTGCTCGTGTGTACACTTTGTAAACTGTAGGGTATGTGTGGCAAAACGAGAACTGCATGGGTTGGAGATTCGGGTTCGTGTTGAAGTTCAGCATACCATTATATATAGAACTTGAATAATGTAAGTAATTTCTGCGACAAATATATTAGTATATTTCAGTTATTTTCAAAACAAAAAAGGTTTTCCATGTTTTCAGTTTAGAATTTTCCGACCCGGTCCTGATTTTCCCAACCCGGCCATTTTAAACACAAGTTGTTGCAGATGCAAATGTTAGAACAAACTATATAAAGTTCAACAGGGATTGTATAATTTTTATTAATCAGAATTCGTATTTATATGATCTAATTAAGAAAAGAAAAGTTTTATCTGACACCGTAACTTCTCGGCAAAACAAAACGTGTTTCTCCGAGCTCGCTGGATGCGTGTGACAGCTCCATTGCACGTGTGTAGACCAAGGCTACAGGTACATGTAGGCCTATGTGTACTGTTTGTTAGGAGACTGGGTGACCGTAATGCTATGGAATCACGATATTTACAACAGTTCCATAATTAGACAGTGCAGTTTTTTTTTATTAACGTCATGATAAACACTGTTAAACATATTAAATCTAACAGTCGAATATCTTTGGATATGGGGTAACCCATATCTATTCTTGTTATTTTTTTTTTTGATTTATTGTTGACAAATTAATTTATCACATTAATTTTATTTTAAAAAAAACATGACCATATATTTTGCCCAAAATTATGTGTAGGCATTTGCCTTTTTGCCTTAATGGACGCTACGCCACTGAATTATTTGAATTTAGCATGTTATAATTAAAAAAAAAAATAATTTTATATACGCTGTCGTAGGATTGAAATCAACGAGGGGCGAATTGATACAATACCTGATTTTGCTAAACAGTCAAAAAGGATATATTCTCCGAATTACTTAAATATTTACCTATTGAAGAATTTATTTTAAAAAATTCCATGGATAGTTTGAAATATGCGTAAATATTTTTTTCCATAAATATTCAGTGGGTTCTTTCTCACATTTATTTATAAAATCATTTAATAATGATAATTTATATCTGAGGCATTGATAATTCCGTAATACATGCATATTTGATGTATTCCCTTTAGACAGGATTATTGTTGAAATGATTTATGTCAACTACTTATTGTATAATTGTTTTGCTATTCATTGGCTTATCTTTTCCTTATTATTGTAACAATTTCATACTTGTCTGTTATGGGCTCTAAATTAGAAATAAAATGTTCTGTTCTGTTCTGTTCGTAATTCCACAAAAATATCTCTGAAGATATAAAAATCAACAGACGTAAGCATTCATCAAAGACAGAAACCTAAGTATAGCGTTAAATAATTTTTGAAAAGTCCAGTGTTACTTAGCGTGTACTTTACGGGTTTTAGCCTAAACTCTGCCCATGCGCAATGTGTAAAGTGACGTGTTGGCCATCTTAGATGCGACAAAATATTGACATCGAAGGAAAAAGATATACCTGAAGTTTTCAGAATGATATTACGGCTGTCGACATTACTTTTTCTTGCGAGCATTAGCAACGCTTTCTATTTACCAGGTCTTGCCCCTGTCACATACTGTGCAAAAGATGCAGCAGGCACAGGAAATGCGAACTGCAAGGTGAATGCAAATTGAATGTAGAAATTGTGTCATTTAATTAGTCTTTTTCTTGCCTTTGACAGACGATTTCATTTGCTAACTGACTAAAATTGACTTGCACAGTAAAATTTATTGTCCACGTGTCACAATGATAAAAGCACGTTGGATCATTGTGAAAGTCCGTCATGTCTATACTCGATATCCTGTTCAACACGTTGGTCATAACATTGCTCTTCAGCGAGATTATATAAGGTGACCATTCATCTAAGGAGAAAAGAGAGCCTTTTCGTTATCACGTAAAATAAGTAGATAGTGCATCTGAGGAATTTTTTGAATAAATTAGCAGTATTGAGAAATTTTTCATCACATGAGATAAAATGTGATGATTTATCATGTATTTTGAAATATTTACATTTCCAATGTCTATCCGAGAGAAAAATTACAAATAGTCAAAAAAATTTATTTCTCCATAAGTCTGGTTCGTGCATAGGGCAGTTATTAGAAAATCACGTGTTGGGCGGGACAAATGGAGAACAGAAGCCGCAGGCTTGTAGCACCTGGCTTTGTGGAATAAAGAGCATGTAACTATAAGGAATAACTGTCAGATTTTTTTTGTTTCATCATGATGATCAATCGATTGGCTTGCATGATATTTTTTATGCATAAGCGTAAAACTTAAGGTGTTTATGCAAATTATCATGCAAGCCATTCGATTGATCACATCACGAAACAAAAAATTAGGCATTTACTCCTTAAATACATCTAATTGGTAGCAATTTAATGGTCACAGCTACAAGTCGCATACAATAAAGCACATACAAGTGGTAAAATTTTGCGTTTTAGTAAACAAGGCTGAGCTTTCTTCATGAACAAGGGTTGTTGCTTGACACGCCCATTTCTTCAGAAAGGAGAAAGCAGTTAATTCTAGGGGGTAAATGTGTATTGGTGAGGAAAGTTTTTCTCCTTGATATAAGTGATATAACCTTTCTATATGGATGATAGTGTCATGAAAGCAAACACACATACACAAAAAGAATTGTACAAAAAAGTTTTTGCAAAGTTGCTTAAAGTTTATATGAAAATTGCATGTCTTAAATATTGATTGCAGTTGTAAAACCTTGTATCAGTGTTTTACCAGGTTTTATATTTTTCTTTTTCAGTCTGAGATACCAATATATGTAAACAGACTCAATTCAGTGGAAACTATTGTGCCTTATGAATATCACAAGTAAGGATCAGTTACTTAGTTACTTTACTTTGTTTTGTTTTGTCTTTATGTATATGAAAATTAAAGTATAAGCATGATAAGTGGTATAAGTATAATGAAGAACTTGGGGAAAAATATTTTGCATGATGGCATTATTCAATTTTGAAAATTGCTCTAAAGTGCTTGAAGCTTAATATGTTGTTTCTTGGCTGTACCAACCCAGTGTTATATAGTGTAACTGTAAGGTAGTGAGATAGAATACATGACAGTAAGGCTCAAGTGTCTTCTTTTTTTACAGGTTTGATTTCTGTACTGTGGATGAATCTGATTCTCCTGTGGAAAATTTAGGTCAAGTTGTGTTTGGTGAAAGGATAAGGCCTTCTCCTTATTCCGTGAGTTTTTTCCCCACAAATTGTTTGTAAAATGCTTCTGGAATGCACAAGTTTTATTCCTACAATAATTTCTCTTTATCTGATTGTACTCTAAGTAAATTTATGATATTTTTTCGTATTTTAGGTGAACATTTTATTAAACATATTAAACTGAGCAAAGAAAAAATATATATTGTTATTTCATATATATAGAGGATATTCAATGTTTTGTAGTTGAATATGGAATTTATTTCACAAGTGGGACAGGATATTTGATATTACACGAGTGCAAAGCACGAGTGAAAATATCAAAAAATCCTGTCTCACAAGTGAAATAAATTCCATATTCAACTACAAAATATTGAATTTTCTGTTTATTACATTTTTTAAAGAAATTCTTTGATTTTTCCTTTGCCTCTGTCTTTTTGTAATACATTCATGGGCTCATGAGACGTCATAGCTAAGTGAGGTGAAAACACTGTAAATATGAATTTGACAACATATTTTTGGTAATTTTGACAGTTTTATTCGCTGTCAGAATGGTTTATTTATTTCCATCTATCTTATATTAGGTCAAGGTAGATTTTTTTTACAGCAACCTTCGTTAATATGAGAAAGGAAATCGAGAGTTTTCCTGCACTTCTGATATTCGTCACACTGTGACAGGATATCATTTTGATATCCTTTCACACTGTGACAGGATATCATTTTTATTCAATGAATAAATTACAGTATTTCACTGGTAAAAATGTAATAAATTTATTTACTACATTTTACTGTGTATAGTATGACATTGACTATTTGTACATGTTGATTCCAAATATGATCTATAAGTATTTTTCCATCAATCGTCATCATATTGACATTGAGGCTGTTATGTATAGTTTCTGACTTTTCGTTGTTCGTTTAACTTTGACACTTACTCGAAATATCAATATAATAAGTGTCTCTTCATGTAATCAATTTCTACTTTTTGCTGCGTCTTTAATGATTTTTAAGACAGTCATTGTTAATGATTTTAATAGCAGATAGGCAAAATATGATGAATTATAAATCAGTTATGACCTTGCACTGTAAGTGTCACCAGAAAAAAAAACATCCTGTTCCTTGATACCATGTCTTCTGCCTGGGGCATTGAAATGTTCAGGTAAAGGTGTTAATTATGTAACCTTGTGTACACATAGCCATTTTGAAGTATCAAGGGTAAATTCCAATAGAACATGTAGAATATGCATATTGGGACTACATTTTGACTTCAAGCAATGAAGGGTTTCAAGAGATCAAAAGTTAGAGAAATCGAGTAAATTTGCTTAGTTACATAAGGGGAAAAATCAAGGCTAGAGACTCGCTTTGAGAGGTCGAAGTTTGATCCATCAAGAGTTACCTTTAGTGTTTGTCATGTTTGCCTTCCATCACACTTTGCATTTAGCTCAGTTTCAAAGAAACTAGTAACTAAAAGATATTTTTATCAAACATCATATATGATGAATTGATGTTACACATTGAAGACCACTATTTAAAATGCATAATTTTTTTTTTTACCTTGACCTTTCCTTTGAACTTATCAAAATCAGCATTTTGTGAAATTTAAGGTCGTTATTATATCTTTGCTTTGCATTAACACTAATGAAGATTGATACCACATGTAACCTTCATTTCCTTAAACAGAGGATAATAATTTTGAAAAATATTTTTTTTACAGTTGTCTTTCATGAAGAAGGAGACATGTAAGAGTGTTTGTCAGAAGTCTTACGACCCGAATAGACATGAGGATAAGGAGAGATTGAAGTTCTTAAAGAAAGGAATAGCCAATAATTACTACCACCACTGGTTTGTTTCTTGGTTTTTATATTTGTTTCATAAGTGTAAAGAATGTTAAGTGTTGAAAATTATTTTGATATTCTTGAACAAGAAAAAGAGGGGATGGGATAGTAACAGTTATAAATGAGTTAAAGTTTAGAAATTGTTATTAGAAAACATGTAATGTACATGTATTTATAAATAACACAAAGTTGTGTTTTACAGGATCGTTGATAACATGCCCATCACTTGGTTTTACAGTGTTGTAATTATTTACGCGTTGTGTTTACAGGATTGTTGATAACATGCCCATCACTTGATTTTACAGTGTTGTAATTATTTACGTGTTGTGTTTTACAGGATCGTTGATAACATGCCCATCACTTGGTGTTACGACGTAGAGAACAATCAGAAGTACTGCTCCAGGGGATTCCCCATTGGTTGCTTTGTGACTAAAGAAGGGAAAAGAAAAGATGCATGTGTTATCAATGTAAGAATTTTTTCTATGCATTTTAACAATTGTTTATTGATAATGTTCCAATCGAGTTAAAGTAATGTGTTTGTATTTTATTCTGTAGAGTTTATGCAAGAAATTGTTAGGTCTTAAATGTGGAAATGGCCAATTTGTATGTCATACTCATCTTCAAAATTTTTTGTGAACTTTCAATATCTATGGTAAAAAGTATATAACTTTGTGTTGATTTGAAATAGCTGTGAAATAATGACTATATGAGAGTTAATAGTGCTCCTTACATTATTTCGTAAAAGTTAAAGTCATTCAAATTTAAAATTCTTCTTTGAAAACCTACAAATATTGTTTTCATTTTCAGGGTAAATACACAGAAAAGGAAACATATTACGTCTTCAATCATCTGGATATAAAAATCATGTACCACATCCCAGCAGACTCTGAATGGGATAGCAGCTTTGGAAGCATAGGGGGAAGGATTGTGTCAGCCAAGGTTACTCCTAGAAGGTAAAAACAAAGTCTCATTTAATAGGGGCAAAGTGTCCCCAACTTAGGGCTCAGTTCTTTCAAATTTGATGATGATTGCAATTTGATGTTCTAACAAATAAACTAAAGGTCCCAAATTACAAATTTTGCTAAAAACAGATACACATTTCAGTATTTGTAAGGTTATAAAATGCTTAGTGTTGGACTCTCATGTTCCTATTGCTACTGTTTTAAGGTGTACAAAACTTGAAAGTTGAACTAAAAGAAAATTATGTTATTTGCAGTATCAAATATCCTGAGAAAGGTCCCTTCAAGTGTGATGACACTACTGTCCCCATGGGCATCCCAGCAAATGTGAATCAACCATTCAAGATGAACTACACATACTCTGTGACATGGGAGGTAAACATTTTATCACGAAGAGTTTAATGCTTATATTTATAAACACCCGATTTTAAAGATTGAGAATTAAAAAAGACTTCTTAAGCCTGATGTAAATATTTTCCCCATTAATTGCAGACCAGCCCAGTGAAGTGGTCATCCAGATGGGATTACATCTTGGAGTCCATGCCTCATTCCAACATTCAGTGGTTTAGGTAATTACTATTTAGTCTGTTAAATTAAAGAGAGTGGGTTTTTAACACGTAAATGATTCAACAATGGCATTTTCTATATTGAATGTTATGATTTTGAGGTTGAGCTATTATGCTTACTCTTCAAATACATTTCAAAGAATGTTTTCAACTTAACAAGTGTTTTCTCATAATTTTCTTTACCCCAAAAAGCAAAACTTGCGAAAATTGCTAATCTAATTGTCTTACGTGATCATGGAAGAATTTAATTTTCCTTTAACTGAAGTATAATTAAATAATTATAGCATCATGAATTCGCTGGTGATTGTGCTGTTCCTCTCTGGTATGGTAGCTATGATCATGTTGAGAACCCTCCACAGGGACATTGCTCGATACAACCAAATGGACAATTCCGTGAGTCTGCTTTTCTTTTCTGTTGATTATTCTTGGATGTATTTCTTACCACGATACACAAATAGTGTTGAATAATCGGGAAAATTTCATAATCGATAATCGATCAGAATCGGAGAAGCTTAATCGATCAATCATCGACTTAATTGGTAATTCAAATACAAAATTCCACTTCTTTATAGCATTTATCATTTATGGAACAAACTAAAAATAAAATTTTATCAAGTTTATTTTAAAACAACTTTTTGTCAGTTTGTTGTATTAAGTAACAAAGAAACAGAAAAAAATTAACATATTTGCTCATAAAATCTAAAAATGTTTGTCATGACATCAGATTTTGCATTCCCTGGATATGGGTAAATTTCTCCTTACTGTTGTTTAGTTAGAATAATCTAAGCCCTCAGCCCCTCACCACAGTTAGAATACGTCCCATATGCAGTACTTTACTTGTAATGTAGCAAATCGGGCGGATCCGTTCCGAAATGATTTTGAAGAATATAAAAGGATTTGAACTGGAAATAACTACCAAATTAATCAAAACAAACCTTTTTGAGATTGCTTATGCCTTTTATCCCCAAAAACAATCCATATATAGACGAAAAGCCAATTAATTTCTCAACGTTTTTCTCTCGCTTCGAATTTACCTGCCATGTTTACATTCGGAACTCTCTAGATTGTCCATAGTAAATGTATGAGTTATCGCCCGTGTTTCTTTTGCTACATTAAGAATACATGGAATGAAGTTTCGTTAAACTGGGTCCATAGGACAATATCAGAATGTTCTATCTATGTTGTTAACTTCGTCTTCGGACGCCATTTTTGTTGACCTCTTTCCTTTTCGTTTTCACATGCATTGTTAATGTGTGCGTATGTTTTGTTCAAATCTTACACGTTTATTTGGGCGAGTTTATTTGGGCGACAATCGATTATGAAAAACGTAATCGATAATCGGAATCGAACACCCAAAAATGATCGACAATCGATCGTCGGCGACAATCGTTTCATTCACTATACACAAAAGGTATCTTCTTTAAGAAAACAATATGTTTTCAGTAAAAGCAAAAAATGAATAAGGAATCAATTAAGAAATATTTATTATGCCTTCATATGAAGAATGGAGGGCATATTGCTTTGCTGCTGTTGGTCGTCAGTCCACCATCAGTTTCTTTCATTTTCTTCGCAGCGGTTGCACATATTGAAATGAAATTTGGTATACAGTTTCATCATAAAAATATCTAGGTCAAGTGTTGTTTTGGATATGACTGGACCATTTTGGTAGAGTTCTGTCCCTTAGACTTAGAAAAATTCCAATTATATAGGGGGGGGGCTTAATTTTTTTACAGACATCTCTTGTGTTGAGTTTGGATTTAATAAAAAATGATTTATTTATTTAATTCAGGAAGATGCCCAAGAAGAATTTGGCTGGAAGCTTGTCCATGGAGATGTCTTCAGACCCCCAAGGAAAGGAATGATGCTGGCTGTCTTAAATGGAAATGGTGTCCAAATCTTCTTTATGATGTTTATAACTCTCAGTAAGCAGTTGTCTTTCTTATTTTGCTTTATCGGATATTTTTGAAATTGATATTGCAAATTATATATTATCTTTTGAAAGAAACCAATTTCTGGGAATAAATATTTAAGAAGTGGAAATTTAACTAAGATAAAGACTACCCTAAATGGACCAAGTTTATTTAGACTGAAATACAGTTGAAATGTAACCCCTCCATTGTTTTTTCCATCCAAAGCAACTATATATTTGAATAATTTCAGTCTTTGCCTGCCTGGGATTCTTATCCCCCGCCAATAGAGGAGCTCTGATGACTTGCACCCTAGTCCTCTACGTTTGTCTTGGAACGCCAGCAGGATATGTGTCAGCTAGAATCTACAAAAGTAAGTCTTATCTCAAGCATCAACAGAAGTAAGATTCCTACTTTGAAGGTGTTATTACTAGCACAGACATCTTTTATATTGATTGTTTTAATGTTTTTCGATTTTATTTCAGTGTTTGGAGGAGAAAAGTGGAAGTCGAATGTCATTCTGACAGCTTTCCTATGTCCTGGGTAAGTGGAATTTCAAAAATTTTGTCTACAATGTATCGACTAATTGCAACATTGTAAACTGGTGAAATATATGAATTACTAAAAGTAATGTATCTTGCAGTTAGTACATACATGTAAGTGTTTCCTATTCTGAGTAAGAGATTTTACTAAACTGCATATTAGAATTTTTATAGAAGTCTTCAACGATCTGAATTGTGCACTTTTGGGACTGGGTTGAAATTTACAAATATCTTTAAAGTCATCTTTAACATTTATTTTAATCCAGTACTTATGTAAGTTATCATATTTTGTTACAGTACTGTATTTGGGGTATTTTTCCTGTTGAATCTCGTACTGTGGGCTGAAGGAAGTAGTGCTGCCATTCCTTTCTCTACACTGATAGCATTACTGGCTTTGTGGTTTGGTATTTCAGTTCCCCTCACCTTTGTAGGGGCATATTTTGGATACAAAAAGAGGGTAAGTGGTGGATAAAGAATTGTTGATTCTTGCTTTACATAAACATAAAGCTATTTGATTTGTTTCCACCTTTTGTGATTATGACCCCCCTCCCCATTTCATTTTCAAAACAGATCTACAGAATAACATGAATATGGTAAAGTCTACATGCAAATTATAATGTATATTTTCATACAAATATATCTTGCAAAATTTTTTTTTAAAAACCCTCCCCTACTTTAGGAATAAATCTCTCACATAAAAAATACTGATATATGATTTCACATCAGTCATCTAGTTCGTTGAATCCTAAATTACATGCTTATTATTTTCCTTCTTCAGCCTATTGAACACCCTGTCAGAACAAACCAGATTCCCCGACAGATTCCAGATCAGTCGTTTTACACCAGACCCCTCCCCGGAATACTGATGGGGGGTGTTCTACCGTTTGGTTGCATCTTCATCCAACTCTTTTTCATTCTCAATAGTATATGGTAAGAATTTCTTCACAGGTTTAGAATTATAGACATGTACATATTATCTAGAGTAGATTGTTTAATGCTGAATTAACGCTGATTTGAAGTTGCATTAATGGGCTTTGAGTTGCCAAATAAGAGTCTTTGTGCTAGCCTGTGTTAGAAAATTTTTCAAAAGATTAAAAAAAAATGTTTTGAGTTTCATAGTTACAATACTGTCAAAAAGAAAAATTTTCTTTATATGTGTCCTTAAATAGAATGTGTAAAGCTAAACAACAGTTGTAATTGCCATCTCTGCTGTTTCTGTTCTAAGATTCATTTTATAACTTTAACTTTTCAGGTCACAGCAAACCTACTACATGTTTGGGTTCCTGATGTTAGTTTTCATTATCCTTATTGTGACCTGTTCCGAGGCCACCATCCTACTGTGTTATTTCCATCTCTGTGCCGAAGTAAGGCTTCAACAAGTTTTAGTTTCTGCAGGGCTGTACCTCATTAAATGATGTCTTTAAAATACAGCATAATTTAAAGAGATACTGTATACAGGGTTATTTTTGCCCAGCTTTATCTTTGCCCTTTTGCACTTGCAAACAATTTTGTACCATCTTACATTCATCCAGTCACAGTTCTGTTTAAGAAATTGTACTGTATTCTTCAAATTTTGCCCTGTTTTAAATAAAACAGGGGGCGAAAATTCCTCTGTATACAGTATGTCATTTTAAATGTGAAAAAATAAATTAAGTACATTGTATATCAATGAAGTCACTTGCTTTAAGGTTTTGCATATTTACTCTGTACATTTGAATCAATGATTGATAACCTGTTGAATATTTTGTAGGATTACCATTGGTGGTGGCGTTCCTTCCTGACCAGTGGTTTTACAGCAGTCTATCTGTTTGGCTACTGTATTCACTATTTTGTCTCCAAGCTGGAAATACACGGAGCAGCTAGTACCTTCCTCTATTTTGGTTACACATTTATCATTGTGTTCCTTTTCTTCTTGTTGACTGGTGAGTTATTATTTTTACCAAATACATGTAAAGCACTAAAGCACCAAATTTCTGTTTCTTGTATTTATTTTTTAAAAACAGAGGAAGGGAATTTCAAAATTTTTTCCTCTGTACAAGTTATATCCTAATCAAAATGTAACTCTAAGCATTAGGGGAAATTGTATTTCTCTATTTACCATAATCTGATTTCAGAACTATTAATATTAAATGTATGAAACTCTCATGAAAATTAATACCTCAGATGAATAATTGGGGGAGGGTTTTTTTGCAATTTCTTTTGGAATTTTAAAATGAATACCATTTATATGCATTTCTGTGCATAATATTTTGAATTTTTGTTTTAACTTAGGAACAATTGGTTTCTTTGCCTGTTTCTGGTTTGTCACCAAGATCTATGGAGTAGTGAAAGTGGACTAGATTTGTTCCAGCCATTCATTGAGATGCCAGCAATGGTCCAGCATGGAGGGAAAACACTCATAAAGCTCATTAGAACACATGTCTGCCTGTGATGTATCATGTAGGAAAACACTAGATAAGGAATTCATGCACATGTATGGACAATATTTGTCACAGTCACGGAACGAGAAATTCACCAGACAGAATATAGGGTATATACAGTGTAGAGATCGAAGTCACTTTTCTTGCAGAGAATGGAATTTGGATATAGGAACTTGTCTTTTTTTGTGTGTATGAACAGCTTCTCTGTTGATTTTCTTTTAATAATGTGGTGTAATTATTTTAATAAAGGTTTCTTTTGAATTTCATGCACTTAAACTAAACAACCTTTTAGTTCAGACAAACAATATTTTTGAAGTATGTGTAAAATTTTTACGTACAAGTGTAATATCCACAAACTTTAGAACAATGTAATTGCTTTTAGCACTATTTTCAGGTATGGCAAAAATTTGAGTCATAGACTACTGATAGATTTTGATATTTTTATATCAAATCGTGTTGGACTTGTATTTATTGTATTATGTTTTCTTTATGCTAAAAAATTATTTACATTTACAATCTTGGTATGTTACGTTGAACTCATTGGATGTCTGTTGAAATCCATTTTGTGTAGAATACATGTTTCATCTTGATGTGCATTATTTGATTTCTGTCTTGCTGGAAACTGTACAAATTAAAACTTACACACAAATGTTTAATTTTTTTTAAAAATAAAAATCAAACGTTAAGAAGAAAAATAATATTACATAACCTCTGTATGTATATATTATTATCTTTTAGTTTTTCATTAACATTTCTTTGTTTTGTGAAATGTGTTTTATCTGAGGCTTAGCTCATTAAATGTGTCAGTTTAGCATACATATCATCATATTTTAATTAATCTTTTTGTTGTTGACCATTGAAATGATTCTATTTGGGGTCATGACCCCTGTATCAGTTCATTGGTGGATTTTGTTTGGTAATAAATGTTTACTCATGACACTCGCAAATTAATACTTGTACATGTATTTGAGAGTATTCGGAAAATGCTCTCATTAGGTATGGTTTTTTAATATCTTCAATGTCATTCCTCTACTTTTTACATAAATTATGCATTCTGTTTGTGGTAATCTGATACAGTGCACTATATTACTTTGGCATGAACCATACATTTGTGTAACAGAGAATACATGTGAAAAGAAACATGGATGCATATTTTGCACAAACAACCTATATTTTTTTCATTATAATCTATTGATACAAATATATTTGTAAAATATAGCTTATTTATAATTTCATGTATAAATTGTAGACTGAGGGTATGTAATATTAATACATACTGTGTGGGTGAAACTTTTGCAAGTTTAAAGTATTGAAATAAAACTACAAATTATATGGAGAGGATTTTGTGATGCAATTATGACATGAAGGGAGAAGGCTTGGTAAGTTCGGGATTTGAATCTGTGATCTACAAACCTTGCTGATGTCTCATCACAGAACTTCTGAAAACTTCAGAAATCCTGTTAAAGAGTTAAAGAAAAGATGTACATAAGGAAAGGAGGCTTTCTGAAGTACCGGGTTTATGGTTGTTAATGGTCATTTTACATGTATATTGATAAGAAGTTACAGAGAAAACTTGAAAAGTCAATGAGATAATAAACCATGATTGGTCACCATTTCCAATAAACAACACAATTAAGTGTTCATGGCATAGACAATATTGGATCGTGGGAAATTTCGAAGGTGGGATCAGATGCCTAAAAGAAGTAAGCATCGATCTCCTGTTGACCTATATCACACACATTATGAACCTTGTGCATTGAACACAGAATGAGGGAGCTATGCAGTACATACACCTGTGTAATATGTTTCACCGTGAAATCTGACCCTTAAGAATATACCGTTTTCTGTGTTCTTTACACTTTACAAGCAAGCACAGGTTTTGTCTCTCGGTGCAGGATCATTTTCTAAAATCCAACTGGAGTATATATTAATTTGCTGATAAAATCTCATGTAAGATTAAAGGATGAAAAACATTAAAAAGGGAGTGAGATAAAAAGGTGTGATATACTACATATGATTGGTTTTCAATAATTTATTTTTTTTCAATCGGGATCGGCATTCCATATGTAACAAATCGCGGCATTTTTGTTAAAGTCGGCAGTGTTTTAATTAAGTTTGCTGTGTTAATAGACAGTGTCAGTCGTTTGAGGTATCATTTTAATTATAACCTATATATCAGGCATACTTTTAAGGTACAATTGTCGATAGCATTGTCTTTTTTTCAGTTTTTTTTAAAGGTTTGACGGTAGCGATACGCACACGTGTGTTTCACTATTTGCATTGTTCTTTCAATAAGGAGTACGCAATTTTATTAAGTCAGTAGAAATCAGTCCACTGACCAAGCAATGACAGCTATGTGTTAGCAATGGTAGAGTACTTTTATAGAATTAAATGATATCAAGGGTTGTTTGGTCACTGTAAATGCTGTCAACTTTATTCTTTTATATGAATATATATAAGCTAGTTTTCTTTAGTTTTTACACTTTACAACCAACCTCCCCCCTTCCTGTTCCAAAGTGAACATTTTTTTTCTTCACAAAATTGCTTGCTAGCTTTTACAGCAAAACTCGGTTATAACGAAGTCACAGGGACCTATTGAATTACTTCGCTATATCCGTAATTCGTTATAACCGTATAAGAAATTCATTAAATTTATATAGCTGGAGATCAAAGATGACTTGTATATCCGTAATTAATATCCGTGCTGATAAACCCTTATGTATTGGCAAATCGATAGAACCGGTACTAAAGAATGAAAAATTAATCGGATGATTTATTCATATGTATCTTTTATATACATAAAACGAAGTGTCATTTCAATTTTTTTTTAAATAGACATGCACGCAATGATGCGGCATTCCATTATGTAACTTTCAATATACCATTGGTGCATTTTTGACAATGGTGATAAGTTAACCCTGAGGATATTGGCATATAATTAAGTTTTACCAATGTTACCAATGAGTCAGGAAACGTGTCAGTCAGATTTGAGGTATCATTTAAATTATAAGTTATATATCAGGCAAACTTTTCAGGATCACACTTCTTTAGTTGCCGTATAGCATATAATCCATTTCAACTTTCATGTTTTTTTTTTTAAGGTTTGATATGATTTTTATGTGATTTTGGCATGATTTGCGCACAAAAATCGTTTATATCATTGTGAATCCATGCAGTTTTCTTTGTTGCCATGTCAATAACTAGCTGTGAGTCCACAATTTTATTAATAAAGTCAATAGAAATCACTCGATTGACCAAGCAATGACAGTTATGCGTTAGCAATGGTAGAGTACTTTTTATAGAATTGAAGGATATCGAATTTTATATGAACATTGGGTTTGAAAAAAAATAAATATTCGGTTTCAAGCTTTTTTTACAATGGTTTTACTAGGGGCACATAAAACTTATTTAAAAATTTGACTTTTCACATTAATTCTCGGTTTCACTTTATATAGTGGTGAAGTGAGACTGAGATCAATAGTTCATTTTAGTTTTATGGCCCTGGAGCCAGCTGGTCTGTACAGTACTGTACTAAGTCTAACGGTTGCCCCCCCCCCCCCCTTTTTTGTTCCTTATAAACATTTTTAATTTTTTTTTCTTTTTTTTTTTTTTTTACAAAACTGCTTGCTTTTACTGGTTTAGCTATTCAATCTCCATCATATTTCAACTGATTGTAACATATTCATGTTTTTTTTTAGTGGTGTTAGATATGTCTGGAAAACACACAATTTACTTTGCTGGTAGCATAAGAGGAGGAAGACAGGATGCAGAATTGTACCTCCGTATTGTCACCCAGCTAAAATCCTATGGCACTGTACTCACTGAGCATGTAGCAAGCCCAACAGTGGAAACCGGTATGGAAATGAATTTTTTTTTTGTCGTCTTAAATTATTTTATCTCGGAAAGAAATTCAATTGTGTAAGATTTAATAACTGTAAATGTTTTTACAGATGAGGATAGCACTGGTTTAACAGATGTACAGATTCATGACAGAGATATGGACTGGTTAAATCAGTGTGATGGTATGGTAATTTTTTACAGAAAATGTTTTAGGATTCATAGTTATAATATTTTATAATACATAAATAATTCTAATTTTATCAGTGTTTCCAGTCAGTTAATCTTCCCTTAAAATAGTTAATACATGTACACAAGTGATCTTTGAAATCAATCCTCTTGAACCAGCAAAAATTTGGTTCCCATAAAGTTGACTCTTTTGAATTAAATTAATTCCAAATTAATTTTTTTCTGAAATTTTGATGATCAAATGTTGATGAGAAAAGAAAAAGGTCCAGATGTTTACATACTTTCAACATGTATTTTGTTATTGTAGTTCTGGTTGCCGAGGTGACTCAGCCATCCTTGGGAGTGGGGTATGAGATAGGCAGAGCTGTCGCCTTAAACAAAACCATCATTTGTTTATTCCGGTCAGATTCAGGAAAGAGTGAGTTTACAAATGAATTACATTTTAGGGTCTATTTTATTATTCATTCACAAGGTTCCATATTCTAGTCATTAACACAAGAATAATAACAATATAATGGGGGAAAATCTGCTGATGAAGTACAGTAGAGTGCCACATTGACTTCTGTGAACATTGTAGTCCATGGGCCTCTTGTTCTCTTCTCCTGTAAGTTATATTTGGTCCAGTGCCATGCCCTGGAAATGACAGGTGAAAGACCTGCCAGGGACAGGGAAGAGAATAGGTTGGTTTCTTTGGTAGCAAAGACCTTAAAAGAGGGATGAATGTGGCAGTCAGTCATGTTCAATGGGTCATGGCTAGATAGCTCAGTTGGTAGAGCACCTGACTGGTGATTTAGGGGACCCAGGTTCAAATCCTGGTCTGGTCCTTCAATTTTTTTCCCCTCTGGATAAACAAAACACAGTGTCTTGTAAATCAAACTTGTTTTTTTCATATAATGATGTCAGAGTAATACCCATGAAAAGAATGAAAGCCTACTTTTAATAATTATTTTGTACAGACTCATATATAAATATATATATAAGCAATGAAATGTCTTTCTTTGTTAGTATGTGTGAATTTACATTGCAGCTACTGCAGAAAAAATAATTAACCCACTTACACTTTTTTCTGCAACAGCTTCAACAGTAATTCCCAAACTGACAACCAAAAAAAAGCATTTAATATGATATTGTTTAATGTCATTTTGGTTTAATTGTAGAATTATCAGCCATGATATCTGGAGCAGTGGGGAAGAACTTCCATGTCTACAACTATAAAGAAGAACAAGTGCCGGAAATCCTAGCTAAACACCTCAAGTGATGTGAAGGACTTTGTCCAGCAATAGTTTTATAACAGACCTCAAACAAACAAATTTTGTGGAAAAGAGACACAAATGTTATACACATAGTACTGATATATAAACTGGTGCTTATTTCTGTACAAGAAATGTTTTAATGTGATTTTATACATTCTTGTGATTTTAAATGGACAATATAATTTTGATGTCCAGTATGTGACAGATACACAGGAATGTGCTTATCTGGGAGAGCTCAGACATTGAATGTTCCACAGGTGATCAGATAGTCTTGTAAAATTGTTATGTGCCTGTTGACACAGATGAATAAATATTAATGAATTTGTTCTGATTTAAGATCTTCATTGCAGACAGATTGAGTTTTTTTTGTTAATTCGGAGGGGGTATCATTTACTAAAAAATACTGAATTTAGTTACGGTTTTATTCTCAGAGTACTCAATGACATGGTTTGTAGAGATCTGCAAATTCGATTCATGATTAATGTCCATCGATCTCCAGATGTTGGCATGTATGAACTTTCAAAGTTTATTTATTGCATGACCACCACAGAATTAAATCCCCAAAATTTAATACTTTTTCCTCAAACCACAAAAATAAGGTAGTATGTGGTATGTACATGGATATATTAAGAGTTGGATGTACAGTGGAGCGTCATTTATCCAGACGCTTTGGTTTCCTTGTCAATTTGTCCGGATATATGAAGCGTCCAGATACCTGAATCACCAGTTAAACAAGACAAAACGTTTAAAAATTCCGTTCTGATGAAAAATCGTCCGGATCTGAAGCATCCGGATATCTGAAGGTCCACTGTAGTTCAAATAATCTATTTGTGTCTTGGTACAAGCCCTCATCACCGTGTCCGTAAACATTTAAATTATCATTTTAATAATTGAACATTCTATCAAAGTTGGATGTTATTGCTAGGCTTATAAATTAGAATTCCATTAAAATCTTATTTATTTTTTCTATATTTATAAATGTGTAAAATGTGATTGCAGCTGAAAATTTATAGCCAAGAATTGAAGTTGAAACTGCATCATGCCTGCATGAGTTTCAGTGTCATGGAAGTATCTGATGAGAACAAATTGTTAGAAATGTATTGAAGGGGAGGAATGTGGTGGTAAGTCATGTTTAAATGCAGGTGGCCACGCATACCTACCTGTGGACAGAGCAGCTGTTTGTAATATTGTATTAAATTAAATAGGTTTTGTCCTCCTCTGATTCCACGGAATTCAGTTATAATTAAAAAGATTTTATGCTAAAATATTTGTAAAAATAGGGGTCTGATGTATTGAATTTTTAGCTCACCTGAGCCAAAGGCTCAAGTGAGCTTTTCTGATCAAAATTTGTCCGTCGTCTGTCGTTGGCGTTGTTGTCGTTGTCGTTGTCGTAAACTTTTCACATTTTCATCTTCTTCTCAAGAACCACTGGGCCAATTTCAACCAAACTTGCCACAAAGTATCTTTAGTTCAAATGAAGGGCCACGCCCTTTTCCAAGGGGAGATAATTATGATTTAGAGAAAAATTAATGGCATTTTTAAAAAAATCTTTTTCATAAGAACCACTTGGCTAGGAAAGATGAAACTCATGTGGAATCATCCTCAGGTAGTGACGATTCAAGTTTGTTCAAATCATGACCCCCGGGGGGTAGGGTGGGGCCAAAATGGCTGATCAAAGTTTTACATAGGACCTTCTCAAGAACCACTGGGCCAGGAAAGATGAAACTCATGTGGAATCATCCTCAGGTAGTGACGATTCAAGTTTGTTCAAATCATGACCCCCGGGGGTAGGATGGGGCCAAATGGCCGATAAAAGTTTTACATAGGAATATATAGGGAATCCTTTTAAGGAGGCTGGGGGGGTCAACAAATTAACTATATATAAATCAGCCACCAGATTTAACTTATTTTTTTAAATACGGTATCCTAAGCTGTTAACTATCATTTTGCAAAGAAAACATTCATACATTTTAGTTTTAGAATTTGATCATTTTTGTATATTTTTATATGGAGCTCTTCTTTTAAAGGAGATCAAAATAGTCTGAAAATGGCTGCCAGTACACCCCAGCCTCGTTAAAATCTTCTTTTCAAGTACTTCAAAGCCATGCCTATAGTGATATTTATAGGGAATCATCCTCAGGTAGTGTTGATTCTAGTTTGTTCAAATCATGACCCCCTGGGGGGTTAAAATCAAGCCCCCCCCAGTAAACTTTCAGTTCTGATCTGATATGTTCTTTTTGCTCAGGTGAGCGATGTGGCCCCTGGGCCTCTTGTTTTTAAATGCCATATATGAGTATAAATAGAGAGAGAAATTTTGCAAAATTGGGAATAAAAGTAAAAATATTGACATAAATATGGCCCTTTGTTATATTTGACATTTATCAAAACAAAACAGAAGTTTTTAAACCCGGTCCCAAAAGCTCTGGAATCGAAATCCGACGATCGTAAATCAGCCAATGATATCACAATGTTTTTTCAGTCCTGAATGTTAAAAATGGCGGGAAATTAGAGAATGGCGTTGGATGTAAACAAAAATAATCAATATGTCTGAAAAGGAAGATACCGGGGCTTCTCAATTAGTCCCTGAAATATCAGTGGACGATAATGAGTATGTAATCTACCTATTTTGTTTTCTGTATTGATAGTATTGTATTTAATGACTGTAGCGATACTAATTTGGCAGTGTATGAAAGTGCAAGTTCTGAAGTTGCTCGATTTGTATTTGCACTTTGAAAATACATGGAACACAAGAATCTGAATTTTTGATTAGTTGACATTACATTTACATCTCTTCAGAGTGGGCATTGAATTTTAGCTTTCATGGATATAGGATTGTCGATTGCTCACAAAAACGTTTAGAATATAAATTTTGTGAAAACTTCAAGCTAAAATTAAGCTTTAGCTTTGTCTAGTCATTCTGATTAACTTTATAAAGGTATGTAGTTAATCATTTAGCTAAATCAAGAGATTATATAGGATCTACCTATGCAGTTTAGTGATTCACGGGACCTTGGTACCTCCTCAATCGTTGCTTACATCATGTGCATGTTGTAAATGTTTGCAGGTCCTTTAAAAATTTGATTGATGTTGATCTGGAAAGATTAGCAACGGCTATGGAGCTACCAAAAACAGTCAGGATAAAAGCAAACAGTGTTTTAGAGTCACTGCAACGTCAAGATGAATTCAAGGTAAGTTGGGAAACTCAAACGACATTATAATATAAAGACGAATGTGACTAAAATGGGTAGCGAAATCCGGGCCAGGCCGGGAATTTCGAAACTGAAAACTGGGTTTTTGATAATTACGAAATAAATACTCATTCTTTCTTCATGAAATTTGCGGACATAGTTTATTAATCCTAAGATTGGCCTTCGCTGAAAGTTTTAAGTCAAAATAATATGTTTTTCAAGGATTATCGCCGATTGTCCTTTTCCAAATTACTAAAATGGGTAGCGAGCCCGGATTACTCATTTTGGCGATTTAAACTTAATTTCGGCAACATATTTACAATTATTTCTTTTGGATCTCTGAAAATGAACTTAAAGCCCGAGATAATAAGCACCGCCTTCAGATTTACCTGGTCTGTATTCCCCTGTCAATCAAATAAATTAAGGTCCATCATTGGGTACTTGAAAATGATTGACATTTAGCTGCAAGTCCCTGTGTATATCTCTCTCACCTTGTTTGACACGCGTGGCCATCATCAAATTAACTTTCGGTCTTCTGATGTTTACCGCTAAGTCACAATCGCAATGAGGAAGCCATTTTGATGCAAACAATTTTAGCTTGATTATAATTAATTGATTATTATTATCTGTATTACAAACATTGAAAAATGAAAATGTTCTCATATTGTTTCAATTAAATAAATCAAGATTCAATCTGTGTATTTTTTTTTTCTAATGAAAAGTTCATAGGTGACTGAAATCTTGTTTTCATTCGTAAAAAGATTCTTGTTTTGAGACGCGGCGAAAAAATTACGATGAAAATAAAGGAGGAAAAAAACAATGTTTTTTGCTTGAAATGGATGGTAAGGTTGAAAACAAAATGTCTGATTAGTAACAACTTCGCCTGGACAAGTATTAAAATATTAATAGTTTCTTTCTTTTCCTTTTTTATATCCAAGCATTTCTTGCTACACGGGTTCTTACCTCGTTCAAGGTCACTTCAAGGTGTTAAAAATAGTTTTGAAAGAAATACAGAAGTTAGCAATAAATCAATGTTTTGTTTTAAGTTTTTTTAATTATAATCTAAATTTACTTATCGATAAAATATACACAATTGTATGTTATTTTAACTTGACGAAACCATCGTTATGGCTTTTTTTTCACAAGATACCATATGTACATGTGCTAAAAATAGGACCACGCGACTTTTTATGCAAACGGGAAGTAACTGTTTCTATTTGACCGTGATCGAAGCTCTAATTGCTACGATATTTACGATAATTATGAATAGTTTTTAAGATTTTGAAACGGACAGGCAAGGATAAGTATTTTACTGTTGAATTTGTACCTGTATTTCATTATTTTTTTTAAACAATGAACTCAAGTCATTGCTGCTGTGACAAACAATGTAAAGTACACCATACCGTAGATTTTTTTAACAGAATTCGACCGGTGAGATTTCTGCTTGTTTTGATATTGGATATGTCTGAAATTATGGAATTTTACAATGATCATTTATTATTACTAATGATATTTTTTATTCACGATGTCGAGATCTACTAATTTTATGATGAACAGTAGGCCAGCAAGCTGTACAGGTAATACTCATGGACTTCCTGTGTATACTGTTTGTGTATAGGGATTAGCGTTCTCCATGGTCTGCACGACCGTCAATGCCTCGAGGTACCAAGCATGTAAAATTAAGTCCCTCCCCCTTACCTGAGAAAACCGTACAGTTAAAAATCTCTGCCTTTAAACTACCTAAAACATCTAACTGTTGCTGTAATTAATCCCGATTATGAAAAATATACGCTTTTTAGCTCACCTGAGCCGACGGCTGAAGTGAGCTTTTCTGATCAAAATTTGTCCGTTGTCTGTCGTTGTCGTTGTAGTCGTTGTTGTCATTGGCGTTGTCGTCGTCGTAAACTTTTCACATTTTCATCTTCTCAAGAACCACTGGGCCAATTTCAACTAAACTTGCCACAAAGTATCCTTGGGTGAAGAGGATTCAAGTTTGTTCAAATGAAGGGCCACGCCCTTTTCCAAGGGGAGATAATCATAAATTTGAGAAAAATTAATGGCATTTTAAAAAAAAATCTTCTTCTCAAGAACCACTGGGCCAGGAAAGATGAAACTCAGGTGAAATTATCCTCAGGTAGTGTAG